ATTCTGAGCTCCAGAAGAGGGGTTACCAAGTACATTAGCAACCGCCAACAGCAACCAAAGCACACGTAGTAAAAACATTTTAGTTATATACTGAGCAAGGTTGTCGCTTATAGATCAGGGTTCTATGTGTTCTGTGTCGCCTTGAATAAGAAAATGGTTTAAAAAGACTGCTACTAGAGGGTGCAAAGGTAAAATGCATCCAATCAGCTTTATGGACTTGTTGTAAGGGGCCAGATTAAAGAAATGCATAATAAATATAATTGATTGATTTCTTCATAGTTGAAAATGTACCCTTTTGGTTGTGCAATTAGTTTTTTTTCCTTCAAACTTTAATAATATACCAACTTTACAAGTGCCTATTTTTACGACAACGCCTGTTTTTCTTATTAATGCAGCGGTTCTCTTGCTCGTTTCCCTCGATCAGTACCAAGCATGAGTACTTTCGTTCTCCACCACTTGTGTATTTGTATAAATCTCATTCGATAACATGCATTTTGCCAATTAGCAATAAAATAGTAATTTAGGCAATAATTTAAGCACGTATCCACAACCCATGAATCTAAAATAAATTAAAATATATTTAGTACGTTGTCAAATTTGCACAGTTGTGACAGTTCATATTCTAACTGTAATCAACGTCATAATATTTATTGTTTGATGGCGAACTCAACAAATAAAAAAAAATCACGTGACGTTGTTTTCAGTTTATTTGCATTTCAGCTGGAACTTAACTAAATGTCACTCCCACTTTAAAAAAAAATCTTTCGAATTTATTAAGTAAAATTTCATTTAAAGTCGTTCATGTAATTTTTGAAAGTCATTAAACATTTGATATGACCTTACTGTGCCTTTCCCCCGCCATATTGATACAGATTAAGTCATAGTTACAGAGACAGCATTGAACAGACCAGGCAACACGTGCAGGCGGGCTTCCCATAGACTGATAACAATGTACTACGTTAATAATACCAGTCAGCATGTTATACAACTGACAAACGGGTATTGCAACAATGCTAAATGTGTGTAAGTTTAGTGACATTTGGTGGTGTCTTTTCAATTTAATTTCAATTTATTTACCTTTGTGGAAATGACAGTGAAACGATGCATCTTATATCATAGACATTCTTTGTCGAGTTCTGATTGAAGTCTTTCACTTTCATACATGTATATCATTACTTTTATTCCTTGCATTTCACAGACTGTTAATGCTACATTAGCTCCCAATGCATTATAATCCACCATACTTCTGTTGAGAATGTTCTTCTCAAAGATACGGAAATTATTGTTAAGGAAATTCAATTATTGGGAATTTACTAGGATATTTCTTTGTTGGCCTCAGCTAACGGCATATTTTTTCCGGCGTTTTATACTTACATTTATTTGGGCTTTACCCATGATATTAAAGAGCACAACGGGATCAGAGGCGGTTCACAACAGGCGTGTTTTACTTTTAGCGAGACCCTAAGAGGAGAGAATTAATTGAAAAAAACACTTAAGTGTTTAATTACTGGTGCGATTGCAGCGATTGAAATTTTGAGTAAAACACATTTTTCAATTAGTTCTACCGAGGAGATATCGTTATTCTACCGAACACGGTTAACAGGTGGTATGACGTGCTGTTATACCGGGAAAGGTACTGAGTCAAAACAAGTTGGATCGCATTCATTGATAGGCCTTCTCTGAACGTTATACCGGGAAAGGTACTGAGTCAAAACAAGTTGGATCGCATTCATTGATAGGCCTTCTCTGAACGTTCCTAGTTAGATGACTTCGGATGATTTTATTGTCCTTTTTTTTTTTTTTCACCGAGATAACTTTTGGTTTCAACTTTGACGTTGCAGAGCACGATGAAGTCCACAGCTGTTCACACCTCGGCGGTTTTAGGTAGTAAATAATGCCCTGTCCACGAGCCCGATATCACGATAGCAGGCCGAGCGTCAGCGAGGCATGCTATCGTGGATATCGGGCGAGGGGGTAACAGTGCATTATTTGTCATACATACAAAGGGAAATCGTGCGTTTTCCCCACCCAAACCCCCTAACTTTGAATAGAACACGCTGATATCACCGCGCATGGGGTGATATCAAAAAATGGACTTTCCCCGCGTTTACTGCCTAATTGCGGTCACCGTCCAATCATCTTCGTTTGCGTTAGTGGTTTTCTGAGTAGGTGGCCGATTTCCTGCCCATCTTCCGCACGTGGCAGTCACTCCGTCTCATTCATTGTATCGGTCCCTGCAATCCTTTTGTTTTGATATCAGCCCCGTGGTATGTATTATTGAGTAGTCTTTACTCTTTCAAATGTCGACTGCGGACTTGAACCGGGTACTGTATGAATATATGAACAGTCTTGAGTAGCAGGGGTCCAAGATAGGAAAGGAGAGGCATGAAAAGACCAAATGTGTGCCTGTTGAAAGGAGCAGAGGCCATGCGACTTTTGTAAACAATTTCTCTCTGATAATCCCACCAAGAAGATAGCACATTTTGATGAAATGCAGAACATACGGAGATAGCTAGAGCTCAATTTAAGTTCAAGATCTGTGGCACCAACATAAGGACTTTTAACTGAAGAGAAAGGAAATATAATTGTCGACGCAGATGTAAACAATCTAAAGTATACCGTATTTTTATGCAAAAGATAACTTGCTAAGTCCCACGAGAGCCCTCATTCGTTCTCGTGACATCCCGATTCTGGGGCCAGCTCGTTGTCGTGATGGACTGACGTTCCTCATCCGGGACTCGAACCCGTGACTTTGAGTTACCAAGTTTGATGACGCTGTATGCCTCATTTGCATCCATGCACGCTACCGACTGCTCCGTGACAGACCCGCCCACCCTCCGTATGTGCGAGTTTCCTCTTATAGTAATCAATCGCAATTTTTTTAAAAATTTAGTTCTGGCCATAAAAGGGCGATGGATCTGCTGTGACTCGAACCAGCGTGCGAGTGTCTGCCTGCATGCGAGACAGCAGAGTTACCACTGAGCCACGACAACTTCGTTGATACAAGGTGATCAGATGGAAACTTTCAACCTTGTCACGAAGAGCGCCGAATTGGATGTACATGTGTAGATCTGCTATCCCAATCGATAATACGGGTGCTGCAATTCATCCCAAGCAACCATGAACGGTTATATTCATCAGGTACAGGAAGTCGTGTTTGACAACCCGACACGGAGCTCGGAGTTTGTTTTATACTTAGATTTATGTGGGCTTTAACCATGATATTAAAGAGCCCAACGGGATCAGAGGCGGTTCACAACAGGCGTGTTTTACTTTTAGCGAGACCCTAAGAGGAGAGAATAAATTAATAAATAAATAAATAAATAAATAACATTCGAGTGTTTAATTACTGGTGCGATTGCAGCGATGGAAATGTTGAGTAGAACATATTTTGCAAATAATACCGCCGAGCAGATGTCATTATTGTACTGAACACGGTTAACAGGTGGTATGACGTGCTGTTATACCGGAAAAGCTACTGAATCAAAACAAGTTGGATCGCATTCATTGATAGGCCTGCTCTGAACGTTCCTAGTTAGTTGACTTTCGATGCTTTTATTTTCATTTTGTTTTGCTGTGATATAAAGTTTGATTTCACCTTTGGGAGCGTTCACATCGAGAAGAGCCGAGGTCTAGTAAGGCCGCGACCCAAATATGGCGGACCTACATAAAAGGAAAACTGCTTAATCCATTAATGGTCTCTCCGCCTCTCACACGCCTCCTGGTGCGCCGTCCCTGCAGGGGCACACTAATTAAATCTCATATCAATTCAACCGTTCGACGGACGATGCGTGGGGAGCCGTGTGAGAGGCGGAGAGACCATTACAGGATTAAGCGGTTTCCCTTTCATGAAGGTCCCCCATATTTAGGTCTCGGCCTTGCTAGACCTCGGCTCTTCTCGATGTGAATGCTCTCTAGGGCTTATTTGATAGCCTGTCAATCATTCTGACAATGCTAGCGGTAACCCCTTAAAGTTACCAACTGGAGGTAAGACTGATACAAAAATATGATTTTCTGACATCCAACTACATGCAAACAAGTTAATTTCAATTGGCAATAAAGGACCCATCTTTGCGATCGTCAGTACGATAACATTTAAAGCTGCCAACAATTTAATTTGCTATTTTGGACAATTAACCTCTCTGAAAGGGTTTTTGCTCGTTTTCTTCGCTTTCAAGATTGACGAGATAGCGTTATCGGTTCGAGCTATAACTGTCTACCTGTACACCTGAGGGAGACCAAATTCACCACGCTTATTAAGAAAAGTATATGTATGCACTACAAGTGGTTTTTGAAAATTGTGATTGGTCTTTTCTATTTATTGACTTTGAAAGTGAAAATTCCTTAATACTTTGATGTAATTTCACGTTTTTATAGATAAAATCAACTATTAGTCTTTAAAGAAAAATCCCTGAATCCCTTTTGTAGTACTTTGTTCAAGGGTTATAATACCACTGAAAGCATGTTTATAGCTGTCCAAGTGCACGAGAAAACCAGGCAACTGAAAATGATGTTTTTGTCCCAAAAATCCCTATATTACATTGTACGATACACGATGAAGTTGAAGCGCTGTTTCAAGCATAATTAGATGTTTTAAAGACACATTAAATGAATGTAACAAAAATTTAAAAAGCTAAGACCTTTATTTTAAGATAAAATCTCCAACCTACATTCCAACCTTAGGTGACCTACTAGATTAAATCACATTCCGATACAACTTAAGAATTATATAAAAGTCGGGTATTCGTCAAAAGAAAGGGCACAATATCATGTTAGCTGGAACTCAACGCGTGCATTCAGTCTAAGCGTTTATCACATTTGAGATCACATCTTGTAAAGAAAACCCGCTGGTGACTTAAGAAGAAAACGAAAATAGGGAGGGCCCCAAGTTTCAAACAGAAAAAATAGAGCATCAACCTAGTTAATTTAGCATTTTGACGGAGCTGAGCGCAGTTCTAACACCAGTGAAAAAAATTATCACCAAGCGACAAACCGTGGACATGACCGCCGTTCATGTGTATGAACCAGCTCACGAGGTCTCTTCAAGTACGATCACGAGACCACAGTCTGACACGTGTTACGATGTGCACGCTGGTGGGACTATCAACTATGAGGCTCTGCAACCAACGAATGAAGAGGCAGGAAAGAGAATTAAATACCGCCAACTGGCTCTCTACGGTTTACTGTCTCTTTCTGTTTTACTCAATGTAATCTTCCTAGTGGCATTCATTGTGGCTACCTCTGAGAATTGCGTATGTAACTGTAGGAATGAAGGTGAGTCTGCTCAAATAAATCCCCCCAGTCCTCAATTACAGTCCAATACAATACAAGCATACTATGAACTATACAGCATGGTTACTGCATACTCAAAGGCCGATAAGTCTACTAGTAATTTACAAAACTATACTGCTCATTCCCAATGAAACTTTCCTTACCTCCGACAAGGAGGTTACGTTTTTGGTTCCGTTAGTTTGTCTGTCTGTCTGTCTGCCTGTTAGCAACATTACATAAAAAGTTATGGACCGATTTCAATGAATTTTTCAGGAAATGTCAGATGTTGGCCAAGGAACAGATGTTTAGTTTTTGGTGGTGATCAGGATCAATGATCAATCAATAATCAATCAATAAAAAACTAAATCATTATAGAATGATAATTTAGGGGTGAAACGGCATTGGGTGGAGACTTTGCTGCCTTGGCGGAGGTCTGCGCTCTCGGAGTGCTTTTCTAGTTTTATGAATGAAACGTAGATTGATCCAACTCCACAGGGACTCTCGCTGAATGCAAACAGATTAACATGCCTCCACTGTCGTTGAGTAGAATTTAGGAAAGCTGTTGATTACGCAAAAACGTTGGAAAGAAGAGTAGAAATGTTAATATGTTTATCTGATTACGTTCAGCGAGATTCCCTGCTGAGTTGGATTAATCTACTTTGAATGCCTCTGGTATATTTATAGGTCTCATATTGAGCAGTTACCATGCTTTTTAGTTTATGGTATGCTAGTGCTTCACTGTTATTTACGATTTTACACTTATAAGCAACTTAACTGATCAATAGTTTGTGCTCGCACTGAAATCACAGCAGTTTCATAAATTCACAAAATGACAATACATGGTTTCGCTTAAATGTTGACCTGTTTTAGGAGAAAATGAAACCTTCAATGGGACACGCAGTGAAATGACCCAATACAGCGGAATTTCAACCACTGAAACGTCTGTTCCTATAACTAATATCAACGCGAAATCGGAAAATACATCAGAAGTGAGTACACTACAGATGACTATGACGTCAGACCTGACTACCACATCAGAGCCAACCACTTCGTCAGATGTGGCAACTTCGTGGCAAACAACTACCTCGTCAGAACTAACTACTGTGTCAGAATTGACACCTTCGTCAGAAATGACAACCACGTCAGAACCAACTACTTCTTCAGAATTGGCAACCTCAGTAGAACTGACTACATCTACAGAGCCCAGCACGGCTTCAGAACCAACTACAACGGCAGAACCGGCTACATCTTCTGAACTGACTACGACGTCAAAAACAACTACTATGTCAGTAATAACAACCACGTCAGAACTGACTACTTCGGCAGAAATGACTACCACGTCAGAACTGACAACTTCGTCAGAAATGACTACCACATCAGAAATGACTACCACGTCAGAACTGACTACTTCATCAGAAATGACAACCACGTCGGAACTGACTACTTCGTCAGAAATGACAACCACGTCAGAAATGACTACCACCTCAGAACTAACTACTTCATCAGAAATGACTGCCACGTCAGAACAAATTACATCGACAGAGTTGCTAACTTCAACAGAACTGACTTCATCTTCAGAACCGACTACCGCGTCAGAAACAACTACTATGTCAGAACTGATTAGCACGTCAATACCAACTACGACGTCAGAGACAACAATGACATCAGAAACGGCTATTACGTCAGAGTCAGTTACCTCATACGAACAGACCTCGACAACAGCAGGCCCCTCTCCTTGGGGACGAAGAAAGAAAAGAAAATAAAAACAAAATGAACACCTTGCTACAGCTTGCTACAGCTTGCTAAATTCGAATAGATGTTAGATTACAATTACCAACATTCTATCGAAGAACTTTATTATTTAGTAGGCATTTTTGTAGTATGCGTAGTATGGAGATAAAATACATTTAGGTAATGGGTATTCTAGTTGTTGCATCGTTATGTAACTAAACCATGGTTATTGAAGAAAGAATCATCTGTTATATCTGATATCTAGCTTGAAGCGAACTTTACCCTATATAAAAGTTTACGCTTTCTGCAAACCGTTGTCGCAAATTTGCTGCCAATTTTCAAGGAGTTTTACCATGTATATACAAAACTGTAAAATTTGAAAGGGCATAAAGATTTTGCGAAAACTTTAGATGCTCATGCAAATTTGCAACAAA